GTAAGTCAAACACATTTGATTTCTGAGGTCCCAAGCCAAGCCAGCCCCCCCCCCCTCCCCCGACCCCAATGTAGGAATATCTGGCTGGCCCCTGTTACGCTCTGGCTATGTTTATAGCTTGACGAATAATTAATTAGGAAACGTGCTTACAAATAAACACAAGAACTCTGTGATAATAAGTAGTATTGGAAGTAGCTGTTTATTTACAAGAAGGTCACTTTTCGACATTGACGCGTTATAACATATTGTCCAAATACGTCCAAGCTATTATTAATTTACACTCATGACATTCCCCTTGTTTTAAAAGTTACATTTGCCTTTTGTAAATGATGTTGCACATCAACCTTGGGAACGATAGTCCTTGATGACGTCATGACTTGATCACATACACATAAATGTATCCAGTGGTGAGCCAGTTATAACAATAATTAAAGTGATCAGCTCTAATGGCCTTTATCCCAGTGTACATGCATAGTGTATTTTGCATGAGTATTGTGGTCAACAGTGAATCACATTTTAATGACCTTGCCTGCAACGTATTATTGTTTGGTTTCCTTACTTTGCGACCTCTTCTAGATAATGTGACGTGTTGTGTGTGTCGGAGTGTTCCGATGAAGGGGGGGTGCCTCCACAACCAGGAGTGTGTTCGCACACTTTTTGATCATTTTGAGGTGAGTTTGGGAACTCGACCAGTGGTCTGGACGCTTGAGGTCCAGCTTGACCACGTAAGATGGGTGAGGGGACATTATGGTGGTCATTGCTTTGGTATGAACCACCCTCACACTGGTCTGGTTGGATGCCATGATGAGGCTCTCCTGACTGCATGAGGTGCTGTCGGTTTCTGCCAAGCAAACCTCTCTCTGTATGGATAATGTAAGACCTGTTATCTACTTGCTTTTTTTTACTTGAGCTGGTTCCCATGTACTGCTGCGACTGTCTCGGTACGTGACGAACTCCTGGGGTTTCAAAGTCGCGTGGTCTTTTGTGTGACTGTTGTAGTATTTTGCGTGTTTGTCCTTCCTGTCTTTGATCACGCAACTGCTAACGGTCCTTTTGATCCTGTTTGCTGAAGGAAGAAGTGTCCTCAGCTTTCTTCCCATGAGCATTGCCGCGGGTGAGGCTTGGTATGGTTTGTCTGTTGCTCGGAAGTTGAGGATGATTAGATAGGGATCCTGGTCATTGTCCTTTGTTTTGACCAGGATTTTTTTCACTGTTGGCACTGTTCTCTAAGCAAGTCCATTACACCTTGGATACAGTGGAGTGGATGTTCTATGTTCAATATCCCAGGAGTCTGTGAACTTCCTAAAGTCTGTGGACGAGAACTGTGGTCCATTGCCAGTCATGAGCTGGAGTGGTACACAATTCCTTTCAAATTATATTGCCTTCATATAGTGTGTTACGGTTCCACTCGTTGTATCATTTAGGAGATTGATTTTTAAAAATCTGACGTGTAATCCACGACAAGCAAGTAGTCTTTTCTTTAAACGTGGAAAATTTGGTCTTTCTGGAATGGTGTGGCTTAGCAGTGGCTGTCTTTGTTGAGTTTTTCTATATTTCAGACATATCGGGCATGTCCCAATCACTCTTTCTATGTCTTTAAGCATTCCAGGCCAATACACGATTTGGCGGCTCTTTACTTGGACATCTCTATTCCCATGTGTCGGTGGTGAATTTTCTTTAATATGTCTTTCTGCAAAGCTGCAGGTATTAAAATTTGTTTTCCTTTTAGGGGTAACTTTGTGTAAATAACCAGTTCTTCACTAAAGGTCTAAAATGGCTTAGCCTCAAAGGGTACTTTAGAGATGTTTTCGGGCCAACCATTCTTTATGAAGTCTGTAAGTAGCTGCAACTGCTCATCTACCAGCTGGAGGCGTTTGATTTCTTTCAATTTTTCCTTTGACACTACAGCTTGTTGCATTACCATGTCAACAAATGCGCCTATTTCGTTTTCTAGAATTTCCGGTTTTGCTTTTGTCTCTGCAGTTCTGGACAGAGTGTCTGACAGCACCTGGTCCTTTTTTTGTATTTAATATCAACGTTGTATGCTTGGAGCCTGAGAATACATCGTTGTATCCTTGCCGGGCACTTGTCGTACGCCTTATTTTGTATTGCGACGAGAGGTTTGTTATCAGTTTTCACTGTTATTCTTCTGCCGTAAACATACTGATTGAACCTTTCCACGGCAAACACTATAGCCATTGTCTCTTTCTCTATCAAGGCATAATTTACTTCTGCACTGGTCATACTCGTCGTGGATGCAAAGGCAACTGGTTTGTTGTCCTGGAGCAGAACTGCTCCTAGTCCATCTTTACATGCTTCTGCTGACACGACCACAGGCTTGTTTGGATCAAAGAATGCCAGCACTGGGCTTGTGGAGAGGATCTCTTTTATGTCCCTCAGAGCTTTTTGGTGCTGGGACAACCATTGTCATCGTACTTCTGTCTGTTTCAGCTGATGGAGTGACTCAGTTTTCTGTAACATGTTTAGAATGTATTTCTTCAGATGCGTTACCATGCCAAGAAATCTCATCAGATCTTGTCTGTTGTTTGGTGCAAGCATGTTTTTTATGGCTGTGACCTTTGATGGATCCGTTTTTACTCCTGATTCCGTGAGTACATGTCCAAGGTACTTCAATTTTGTCTTTAAAAATTGCATTTTGTTTTGTTGAACATTAGTCCGTTTTCTCTTGCAATAATGTTCAACGAAGTCGTACATCGTTTACAATGTTCTTCTACTGATTGGCTCCAGATGCAAAGGTCATCTTCTTAGCTGACAACACCATCAATATCTCCAAAAAATCTATGTATCATTTTCTGGAAGACTTCAGGGGCTGACTCGATACCAAATGGCAGCCTGAGAAACTTGAATCTGCCAAACGGTGTTACAAAAGAACAGAGCTTCGAGCTTTAGTGATCTAGTGGTACTTTCTAGAAACCACTTGAGGCATCGAGCTTGGTGAAGTACTTGGCAACTTTCATCTCTATTGTTATTTCCTCTAGTGTAGGTAACTGGTTGGGTCCCCTTTTTATTAGCTCGTTTAGCCTTCTGGGAACAATGCAGACTCGGATGTCTCCATTTAGTTTCTGTACCATAATCATTGGGTTCACCCAGTTTGTCGGTTCTTTTATTTTTTCGATGACTCTAAGTCTCTGTTTCAACATTCAACTTTGGCTTCATCGCGAGAGGAACTTGTCTAGCCGCAGCAACAACAGGTGTGACGTTGTGGTCTACCTTAAAATGATGTGTATCCTTGATGCAGCCGTTCTCTCCAAAAATGCCGCTGTACTCCTTTAGTATATTTGATAATTCTGGAGGACTTTGATGTCCTGTTTGAGGCTTCATTTCATTGTTTCCTCAGGATGAGGTTAATTTCAGAACATATTTTCAATCCCAAAATTGACTGAGTATCGGGCGATGACGCCACCACGAAGTCCGCGTAATATTTCTTTCCTTTATGAAAACAAGGGAGGTGAACTTGGCCACTCACTTGGATTTTGTTCCCCGAGTAAGACGTCAGTCTTACTTTTGATGGGACTACCAGAGCATCAACTTGTCATTCCTGTGGTTCTGAAATGACATTAACTTGAGCTCCTGTGTCCAGCTTGACTTTTAACTGCTGACCTCTACAGTTGAGTTGAACAAACCAGTTTTGTTCCTCTTGTTTTGAGTTATTTATTGCACCTATGAAGAACTCTTCAACACTTCGTCTCTCATGGCGCCTTTGTTCTCTTGATTCCACGATTTACTTAACATTTTGTTTAGCTCTGCACACTTTGGCGAAGTGATTCTGTTTCTTGCACATGTTGCAAGTTATTTCCAAACACCGTACTTGTTCTAATTCTATGAGTGCTTCCGCATCTGTTGCAGTGGAAGGTTGATGTCTCGAATTTCTTCTTCTGTTTTCCTGGTGATTTGACGAATTTCTTTGTCTTCGCCACTTTCACTGCTTCTGCCTCCTCGCTCATTATGGTGAGCCCTTTTCCGGATTCTTCTTCCACTCTGCAAATAGACATTGCAGACTCAAATGTGAGGTCTGGCTCTCTGAACAGTCGTTCTTTTACTACCATTTTCAGTATTCCCACGACAATACGGTCTCTGATCATCTCTTCCTCCAAATGTTCATACTGGCAAAGCTTTGCAAAGCGATTCAGGTCTGTGACAAACTCGGCCATGGACTCAATCTGCTGCTGTACCCTACTGTTGAATTTGTATCGCTCTAGAGTCAAATAAAAATGTGAACAATGAAAATTGCGATTACAGAAGTAATGGCATGTGTTGTAAAGCTTGCCTGCTAATTACTATGGGGAAATATACGTTAGTTCTGGACTTCTGACATCACATTCAAACAGTTGTCCAATAATGCTGTACTCTTCAAGTGTTGGCCACTGTTTTGGTCTACTCGGTCAAAATGTTTTTCCTTGTCCTCAAACACAAGATTCAGTTCATTGTTGTATGCAATTGTCCTTTCTCACAGTTGTCTAAGAGCGAAGATAGCGTCTGTGTACCCTCTCCCTTTTCTGAAGCCCGTCTGCATCTCGCTCAGTAATGGTTCCACCTTGTGCCTTGGTGACTGTCACAAGATCTTTGTGTACATCTCGCCTGTGTGGCTCAGAAGTGAAATTGCTCTCTTTCTCACTGAGTGGGTATTCTTCTTTGCTGTTGTTGGGCAGTATGGTTCGTCTCGTTGTTTCAGGTGTGTGTGTGTGTGTGTGTGTGTGTGTGTGTGTGTGTGTGTGTGTGTGTGAATGTTGTATGCATTACATGCTTCTTTTACCCTGCGGTCTGTTTATTTTGTTTTTCCACTGCTCAAATCGAGAATGCACTATTGTAGTTATTTCTACTCTAATACTCAAACATTCTTTTGTTCCAGACTAACTGCATCGGAAAAGAAGACGACCAGTTCACTCACTACTCCAAGAATATCTTTAAAATCCGCAGTAAGATATCTATGTATCTTGTGTTGCTTCTTATCAGGTTTCCGATCTTGCAGCAGTTTCTTGTCAAGGTAAGCTGTAGCGCATTTTGTTTACTTATTGCATGAAATTTGACTTGTTCTTCTTAAAATGTATGGGCAGTGAACAGGCAGAGGGTGGTTAGAGGGCGTCAGAGGTAGGCCTCCGGGGTTTTTTTAGCGTTTATTCCTTTGTTTCTTGCGGTCTGGCTGTCATTTTCCCCAGCACCTATTATTGTTCTCATGTTCATTATTACACACACTCGGAATTTGTTTGATAGATTTTGGAAAGAAGAGGAAAGGAACAAAAGAAAGAAAGGAAGAAAGAAAGAAAAAAGAAAGAACAAAAGAAAGGAACAAGCACAGATAAAAAGACAGAAAGAAAAACAGAAAGAAAGGCAGACAGACAGAAATAAAGAAAGGAAGAGAAAATGAGAAAGAGGACATTGTCAGCACAGAGGAAACTGGGACTTTGACGGTTAGTTGCCAGTTAGATTATATTTATTTCATAGATCTTTGCCAAGTCACTTACTGTGACCATTAGTACCTTGAAAATAAAATAATCATCATGGTAAATGATATAGTTTTCTAATCTATCACATACATTCTTTCCTCTACAATAGACACTGAAGCTGGAATATTTCGACCCTGTATACCAAGATGCTGATCAGTACTTCAGATCTGTTCTCAGGCCATCTGTCAAACACAGAGAACAACTGCAGAGAGAGGGGAAAAAGAACCCCACCGACTTTCTACAGCAGCTCGTGAACGCTAAAATAGGTTCTCGGACAGATGGTGAAAGGACGTCCACAGGTATATCATAATGGTTTTGTTTGTCACGACACGGTGAAGCCAGACGCTGGTCACATTTAAGGGCATATGTGAGGCAGCGTGGTGGAATCAGGCTCTCGTCAATTTTTGGGCATGTAGAGGTATTGGTATCATCTTAAAGCTTGTTCACTTGTCTTTATTTGGATGGAAAAAATATCCATTTATCTTGAATACAAGTCGACATATTTTCGAAAGAAATAGGTGGGGGTTCACCTTTTTCAGAGATAAAATTAGTGAGAAAATGTCCGCCAAAGATTAGTTGTTTATTTAGCTTAAGAGTCTGTGATAATTGAAAATTTACATTTTTTGTGTGCCTTTAATCAACGGTTTTTAAAAAGAAAAATCCACACCTCATTGAGTTCCTTAATGAGTATGATAAAAATCTACAAACCTGTGGAAAAAGGCACTTTTCTTCACTTTGAATATTTTGACGAGAGCCTGATTCCACCCCGCTGCCTCACATATCAAGTTATTGATATCATGTTAAAGCTTTTCATTTGTCTTGATTTGATGAAAAAACAAAAACAAATGCCCGTATATTGTAAATAGAAGGCATTATATTAGTGATTGAAGGAGTGGGGTCTTCTAATGTCAGAGTTAAAATCAGTCAGATAATACCCACCTTAGACTGGCGATTTCCAAAGATCCAGTGTCCTTGGAAATGGCAAACTTTCATTTTTGAAAATTCTGATCAACGTATAAAATAAAATCCTCCCAGAAATATGGCTTTTAATGGACAGAAAATGTAATGAGCTGAATAAAGAGAAAAAATGGAATGAAAAATAAATAACGGTTGGGTAAAAAGTTATTTTTATTCGATTTCATCATTTTGCTGACGCCTTATTCAACCACGATGTCATACATGTTATGATTATTTCATGGGCAATTTGTTCAACGGTACTAAGTCTAGAGAGCAAAAAGTGTGTAATTCTTTAAACAATTAATTGTCACAACTTTATTAATCTTTTCTTGTATTTTTCAAAATTTAAAGTTTGACATTTTTTAGAATAAATAGTTATTGAACACGTGTAATAGATCCCACAGATTACGAAACTGCAATAATTTTTTAACTCAAAATTTGGAACATTGGGGAATTGAACAGTTTATTGACGATATGATGATTCTACATGTTCACTTAAAATATTTGTTCGGTTTTGTAAGTTTTTGAGGTAGTGCCCTGTGGTGTATGGGGCTTAAGTAAAGTGTCGTGCTGTCTTCTTTTTCACTATAAAACTTAAGGCACAAACAGCTTGCAAATTTTGTCAAACTTTCTGCTTCACGAGCCTGGTCTGAAATAGCTGTGAGCAATTATGCTTTGCCTTTATTTGCTTTGCCCAGATTCTCTAAAAGCAAGCAACCCCCCTCCCTTCACAATATATTTTCAAGTTAAGATAATTATGATACAGTTTTGTAAAATCACGTACCACCTGGAATTTCAAGGTCAAACTGATGACATAAAATGTGGATTTGCAGCGGGTAAAGATACCCGGAATGCCATCATCGCCCTAAAGATTCTCATGGAAAGGCCAGTTGGGGTTCAGATCGATCCCAAGCTCTGCCAAGTTGAGTGCTCTAAAGCATTTGACAAATCGATACATGAACAACTTTTAACATCCTAACAGATTTGTACATAAATGAAAAAGACAAAATGATTCTGAAAAACCTTTATTGGAAGCAACAGGCAGAAATCAGTGTCGATAGCAGAGGAGTAGCACAAGGATGTGTCTTACCTTCAAATCTCTTAAATTTATACAGATGGGATACAGCCTAACACCAGTAATTTTGAAGGAGTCAGAATAGGCGGTCACAATATTAAGAACCTACGGTACGCTGATGATAGTCTTGATATTGGACTCTGAGTGACATGGAAAAGCGAAGAGAAGAGCCGACAGCTGAAGGTCAAGAAAACAGAATGAAACGTGATCTCAACAAGGGCTGACATCTCTGGATGCAACATTTTATATGAAAGCGAAAGAATAAAACAGGGTAATATGTTTAAATACTTTGGTCGCACAACGAAGCGAGTAGGAAAAATTGGCACAAAGATAAAATAAGAGGATTGCAGTAGCTAAGGAAACTTTCAGCAAATTGAAACCAATCCCCTAATAGTAACATAACAGTGAACACAAAAATAAGAACCCTGAAAGCGTACGTTTGGTCAGTCCTTTTGTATGGGTGCGAGAGTTGGACACTAAACAAGAACACGGAGAGTAGACTGGAATTCACCGACATGGGGCATTTAAGGAGAACACTTACAATCTCGTGGACGGAGAGGAAAATATACAGATAAATGCTCCAAATTAGCACAAAAGAAGGATTCCTTGGCTACATAAATAGATCAAATAGACTTGAGAAACTTCTGCTGTCTGGAGAGAGAGCGGGAAAGAAGAACACAGGAAGACAAAGATGGCCTGAATAACTTTGCAACGAATAACTCATAGAGAAAAAACGAGATGATCAAGAAAACACAAAATAAAGGAATGGGCTGCCATAATCGTCAATGTCAGCTCAAGACCTGTTAAGAAAAAGAAATTGACATATTGTACGATGCATATCGTCTCCCGCATATTTTCTTACCCGGAACTTACATACTTGATATCTGGCATAGTTACACATTCATTATTATCTCTCCTTGAACAGGTCTCGCAAATGGACACGGTCCTGAGGTCTCCCAATCACTTACGGAAGAAGAGCTTGTTGCGCAGTCGCTCCTCATTATCTTTGCAGGCTTTGAGACCACAGCCACTACGTTACAGATGGCTCTCTACCTGCTGGCTAGACATCCCGACATACAGGTTTGTGGGAGCTTTTTGTTTATTTTTTGAGGGGGGGGGATGCAGCCTATATTTTTACTATGTATAATTGTTGTTGCATGTTTCAGGTGGAAGAGGAAAAGATAAGGGGAGGGGGAAGGGGGGGGGGAGTTAATGTTTGCTATTTATGTGCTCTCTATATTTCGATGGGCGAGGGGGGGGGGGGTAATTCATTGAAGGTTACACATATAATATTATTTTAAAATCTGAAAGCATTGTTATTATTTAAATGGGTAATACTACAAATTTTCGTTGTACAATATGGAAAAAAAATGACAACAGCCCAGCCATCCCAAAAAGCAATCAACGAATACGTCAGTCAAAAGGTAAATTGTACCACATTTCAATAATCATAATCGTATCCCCTATGCTCACACCCCATTCCCGCTCACTCCACAGGATAAGCTCTATGAGGAGATTCAGACGGTTGTGACGTCACAGAGTCCGAGCCACGAGGAGCTGGGTCAACTGATCTACATGGAGCAAGTCATTAACGAAACCCTGCGCCTCTACCCCCCGGTACCACTGATCAACAGGAAGGCTAGTGAGACCAGGACCTACGGATCAGTCACAATACCCAAAGGTAGAGGAGCTTAGAGGTATACAACATCCTAGCAGAAAGACCGACAAACTCGGTAACAATTTTCTCACTACTAGGGAATTGACCTCGGGTCTCCTGGGTTCGAAAGTGAAAAACATCACAGTAAACATTTTTTAGGTGTTTGAATAATTGAATAATATAATTTACCTGTTATAAAGTTTGATCAAGTATTTCGAAACGTCAATATTTAGGAATCCGTTGTTAATGTTCACCACTGCACACCCCCAGAAACCGGTGTCTGTGGAGTAGGCCTACGAGAAAGGCTTTTGTCCGTTACTAAGCTCTTATTGTTTGAAGAAGCTCACCGCCCAAGTGATCAAATTTCGTCGATATGGATGTAAAACTTTAAGAATTACAGTTATACTTCAACATAACCTACGTCACACTTTTTCTCTTAGGTGCTGAAGTCGTTGTCCCACTTGGGCTGATTCTGAAAGACCCCAAGCATTTTCCTGATCCAGAGAAATTCGACCCTGATCGCTTCACAGAAGAAAATAAGGCCAAGAGAAATCCAATGGCCTTCATGCCTTTCGGGCAAGGTCCTCGGCTCTGTATCGGCATGAGGTTGGCCTACCTGGAGGTAAAAATGGCGCTCGTGCACCTGTTGAGGAAGGTCAAGGTTGAGATGAACGAGAGAACGGAACCAAAGAAAGGCGAAGACGTGGTTGTGTCGTCACAAGGGTTGATAGTCATTGACAAGCCCATCAAACTGGCCTGTAAATTGAGATAAAGCCAAGAAAAACATTAACACACGCACACACAAACAGACACAGACACGCAAACACACATACACACATTCACACTCACACACACACACACACACACACACACACACACACACGCACACACACACAAACACACACACACACACACACACACACACACACACACACACACACACACACACGCGCGCACAACCTTGGTGGTTCTTTCTGTACAGGGAAAACAGTTGTGCTTTAATACTTTATGATACCAAGAAAACGTTTTTATCTAAATCAAAATTATTTTTCTTAATGGGATTGTTTATTATGATAAGTGCGTTGTTGTATGAGAATAAAGCTAACGTGCAGCTTAGTACCGTAAAGTCATAATATTATAGTGTTTACAAACCTTTTATTGTAAGCTCTTCTCCACCTGCCCTACTTTTATAAAGAGGGGGAGGGTGGGTGGCTACGCCCCCAACGTCCCGATTTGGCTCAAAATTATGGAATATGAGTTATTTTTGGTTCTTCAAACTCCCCTGCAATTATTTCATCGCATAAGAACCCCCTAAAAGCCGTATTTCTCCCCACACCGGGCATGCATGTCACCACCATTTCTATATAAAGTCAATATTTTATTTTTCCCTATCGGCCGTTTTCTCGAAACGCGATTGTCCTCTATACTTTTAAAAATTACTCCACCCTTTTTCATCCAATATTCACGATATATTCACAGAATGAAGAGAATTTGTACTAAAACTTTGTCTTTTTAATTTTTTATGTATGTGATTGTCTTATACAGATGGCCGTTAGTGTAGGCTCGACTATTCTTGATTCCAGATGTTTCTACAATCAGAAGTCTACGTTTGTTGATAATTGATCTATTGCTATTAGAATATAGAGGCTGTCGTAATAATGTGACTCCAACATTATTTAAAAAGAAAAAAAAATTATTCATAGCAAAACTGAATTTATTTACACATCCATGTGCCCCTTTCAAGATAAGATCAGCTATGTTGACTGAGGCAAGTGAAAATGTATCCCACAACTGAAATCTTTAAATTAAAACAGGGAGGGAAAAATCGGTATCGTGATCAACATTAAATTCGTTGTAATAATGTCCACCTATTTAGGGTGAGTCACTACTCCAGTTTGACACCATACTGGGCTATGGTGCTGGTTGTGCTTGTTCAAATAAAAAACTGGACACTTTTGAATATTAAGGGTTGTTTTGGGGCATTTTTCAGGGATCCCAGGTACTTGGCTGTGTCTTATCTGAAATTGACGTTAATGCGGAGGTTCTGCCACTTGAAATTAAAGTGTAGGTATTGCTATGTCCCCAACGGCCCCATTCAGATCATTTGGGAGGCGGGCATCATATCCTGCCTTTCAGAGCCAACCGTGGTTGAGAGGGATACAACTTTACATCAGAAGGGTCGAGAAACTCGATACAAATTCTATCCTCTCTGAAATCGAACTCGGGTCTCCTGCATGCGACTGCGAAGCGCCGAACCTTCACACCATAGATGGTATTACTGCCGGTTAGATAACACAACAATGTTGAAATATTATGGTAGTAATATGTTATCCAGGATTCTTCTTGTTACCAGACCTATTATATTGATATACTTATTGGCTGTAGCATGATGTTTACTTTTAGCCTTGCAAAACTATACTAAGCGTTTGAAAACCAGCACATTATGTCTCCTAAGAATACATTTCCAACCTGCCATGTTCTCTGAATTTATAGAGAAAGGTGGAGGAAGTGAGGGGTTGGATGTTCTGAACACCATGGGCTGGTTTAAAGAGTGGTCAAGTGCATCCAAGTCGTAGACCAGATTAAATGCTTGAGTGAAATCATTTGAAATACCCAATATTTCAAGAGTAGGACTAAAACAGTCGCTTTGGCCATTCTGTCCAGCTGGGCCCAGAACCCCAAAACGGGCTTTTTTTCGTTATTAATTACGGGGTTAGCTCATCGCCAGACTGAAACTGACCTCTGACAGGATCTAGCCCGCATTCCGTATTTTGCTAATGCTTTGTTTATATAAAAAAACGCAGCGTAAACCTGCTTCGTTGTTCATTAGTCCATCTTGAAACGCTCTCGTGTACACTCTCGTGTAACATTTCTAAATAACAGTTTATCATCCCAGAATGACACACACCAAGATCAGTGTTTCTAACCGGTAGTTTGAGTAGACCAGTCAGAGGTAAAATTGATAAAATCAACATAAGCTGCTGGGATCCTAGAAATCTCTCTCTCTCTCTCTCTCTCTCTCTCTCTCTCTCTCTCTCTCTCTCATACACACGGGCGTGCTTAAACACACACACGCACTCACATACAATAGAATCTAGTATCCAAAAGAAACTTGAAAATTTAATCACTCAATCTTCATGTTAAAGTCTCGCAGTACCCTTTATTGAAGGACATTAATTTAAAGCTGAGTAAATTCTGCATCTTCTGACACATTATTTTGAAGGGCATTATTACCTGTTATTTCATCCTAAATATCACAGACAGTTGCAAACAACGTGTCTGATTTGGGAGCGTAGTCACGTTTCTTCAGCTGTTGTTTCATGGGACTCCACATATTATCTGTAGGATTCATATCGGGGTTATTTTCTGGTGACCACTCTATTGTTGGTGCGATTTGGCTTCCGAGAATTATATAGAGGCGCTGCCGCTGTGAGAAGGTGCTTTGTTGTGCATGAAGATGTCTTCTTTAATGACACCATGACGAAAATAAGGATAAGACATTACATTCTAGAACTTGAACGATGTAGTCCACTAAACGAAGTCATCCCTTGATTCTCACGAGTGCGGTTTTCTTCTTTCCAGCCAGACCATCTCAAGCCATGTCAGTTTCATCGCCTCTGTTCCTCATTGACAGACGATTATGTCCTTAATCTAATTCACCCAGTATATATATATGCAAAAAGCGTTTGTGCTCTGCACAAAACCAATGGCTCTTAAACAGAATACTAATTAACACATTCTAAGTTAAATCCTCGAATCTGTTTTGGAAAAATCGTTATAAGATGCCCTTAATCGCGGAGACAATAATATTCTATATTCATTTGATAATCAATACATGTCTATTTCACCAAGGCTAAAGCATCTCTATACATGAAACTACAAACTGACTTTTAAATTTAATTGATTTCACACAATGTTGTCAAGTCTGATTGTTCAAGATTAGTTTTGAATGATCATATCTAAGGCGACTCTAATCGGAGATGACATATTCATATTCTCTGATGATGCAGAATTCCTTTAGCTTTCAATAGATATGTTGCATGGGCTGGTAGTGCATACATTTTTGAGTTTCTTTTGGACGTCACGGTATATACAAACTCAAGCACTCGCACTTTAACTTTCTTACACACAAACCAACTGAATATAGCAGACCATGAGCGAAAGTGCCAGATAGAATGTAGGGCGACATAAAACCAAAAAAGATAGGAACGAGAGAAAAGAGTGGGTTTTGGAAATGCTCGAAAACTCTGCGTTATTGCGGATTACCTTTAAAAATGCGTTTACTTTACTATTTGTAAACTAGATAACGCATGAATCCACATTTTGTCGTCGGAATATTTTTTTTTTAAATTCTAGGATAATATAAAACTGCTCTAAATTGTGTGTGCTTGGACACGATAGTAAATACATAATATCCACCTCCTTTTCAGGTCTTCCTACTTTACTTGTGGACACATTTAAAACTTCATTGGTCGCAACCGTTTATTCATTTTGTGTAAGACAGAGTTTTATTTGTTTTTCTTCTATTAGCCAACTTTTATTTATCATTCTTTTATACGACGCTACTTGCTTTCTTTAACCGACTACCCACTAAACGGGATTTGGGAAGCATGTCAGATCACGCCATCCGTCAGAGCTGTCAGCCTAAATGGACGGCACATGACCATCAATACGACGAGATCTTTTCGGGATCAAGGCTAAAATCTCTCCCAAGACCTGCCCTGAATCAATGTCGGCAAATTAGCAGTGAAGGCGCTTTGAAAAGTGAAGACAGTCGAGAGGCTGAAGTGTTCCTCTATTTGTCTGCCTCTTTGTTTCTTTCTACATTTTTTTCTTATTCACTCACTGACACTCTGACTTTCCATAAGGCTATTTCTTTCTTTCTGTCTTGTTCTTTCTTGCTAGTTTACTTTCTCTCTCTCTCTCTCTCTATCTCTCTCTCTCTCTCTCTCTCTCTCTCTCTCTCTCTCTCTCTCTCTTTCTCTCTCTCCCTCTTCCTCCCCCTTTCTCTCCCTCCCTCTCCCTCCCTCCTTCTCTCTTTCTCTCTCTCTCTCTCTCTCTCTCTCTCTTTCTTTCATTCTCTTCCCTTCTCATGCTCTTTGTCTTATCTCTTTATGTCTACCTTTCGATTTTTCATAGCCCCTCCCCCTCTCTCTCTCCCTCCCTCCCTCTCTCTACCTCTCTCTTTCGCTCTCTCTCGCTCTCTCTCGCTCTCTATCTCACTTTCTTTCTCTCTCTCTCTTATTATTTTGTCTCTCCCCCCCCTCTCTCCCTTTTCTGAGTTGTACTCTGCCGCGACAGAGTGGGAGAGAGAGAAAGGAAGGAAGGGAGGGAGCGAAAGAGAAAGAGTGAAAGAGAGAAAGTTGTGACAATGACAAAGACAATCTTTATTTATCTTGCAGGAAAAAATGTGTCTTGGTCGTTAACAATGGCAGTAGACGTTGTTACGAAGGTGCACTCACACATTCACTCACTACAAGACAGGACATTGATAAATACCTGACAACATGCTCTGTAAAACATTATCTTTCTTCTTTCTCTCTCTCTCTCTCTCTCTCTCTCTCTCTCTCTCTCTCTCTCTCTCTCTTTCTCTCTCTGTTTCATTTGTAGCACTGTGTGTTCAGTAATCTCACTGAATGAATTTCTATATCTGGTTGTTCTTTTTGGAAATGTATTGTTTACTGCGGGTCGATAGTTGAAATACCCATGTCAGTGGGTGACTATGGTCACAAAGCATTATTTCCGCCTTTTTTAGAACGTTTGTTTTGTGCAAATATTCAAAGTTATTAGCTCTCTACCAATTGTTCTAATTGAAAAAGATATTAAATTAGACAGCACAATTCGTT